AAAAAAAAACAGATGATAAGAGTAAACTTTGGTGCACTCACTGCCAGAAGACACGACACACGAGAGATACATGTTGGGATCTCCATGGAAAACCTAAATGGGCACAGGATTTGGGTAAGAAGTCAACACCTGATCAGGGCAAGAAACCAAGCCAGCAGAATCAGAAGAAGTATAACTCAACTAATATGGCATCGACAGAGACTAGTCCTTTGGTAACTCAAGAGAGGCATCCCAATTCTGACCCTAAGGAATAAATTATCAACTCCTTTCATGAACATTTGGAATTGTATGGTAGGACTCTCCGCCAGATAGATTCTGGTCCCACTCCCTCTACCTCTTTTGCGTCTACATCAGGTAATGCTGCCACTGCCTTCCATGTGTCATCTCATACCACTGATTCTCCGTGGGTTATTATTGACTCCGAAGCCTCAAACCACATGACCGGTAAGTCAAATTTATTTCAGACATATAACCTTCTCTTTGGGAGAGATAAGGTGAGACTAGCTAATGGTTCTTTTTCTACCATAGCTAGTCGAGGTATCATACCTCTCCCACTTGGCCTTACCCTTCCTAATGTACTGCATGTTCCGAAATTACCTATTAATTTGCTGTCCAATAGTAGTATAACTCACTCCTTGAACTGTTCAGTCACTTTTTTTTTTTGTCTTCATGTGTGTTTCAGGATTTGGCCTCGGGGAAGACGATTGGTAGAGGAAGCATGGTGGATGGTCTCTATGTGTTAGAGAATAAAGCTGGTCTTATGGCTACAGAGTCCATGAGTTTGTCAAGTGAGAATCAAGCCTATTTATGGCATAGTCGTCTAGGTCATCTTTCTTTTGAGTCATTAAAAGTTATGTTTCCAAAGTTGTTTGAGTCCTTGTTAGTGAGTCAATTACAGTGTTAGACATGTCAATTGAGTAAACATTGTAGAAGTTCTTTACCTTTGTGAAATAAAAGATCTGAATTTCCATCTCATATTGTTTATTCTGATGTTTGGGGCCCTGTTACTCTACCCACTGAAGCTGGATATAAGTACTTCATTACCTTGATTGATGATTATTCTAAATACACCTGGGTTTACCCTATGCAATCTCGAGATGAAGTGCCAAAAATTGTGAAAGACTTTCAACGCATGGTGTTCACTCAGTTCCAAACTGAAATCCATATCTTCCAGTCGGACAATGCGAAKGAATACTTCCATAGTGATCTCACGGAGTTTTTTGCTTCGAGTGGGTCACTTCAGCGAAGCTCTTGTGCTAGGACACCCCAACAAAATGGTGTTGTTGAACGAAAGAACCGTCACCTTCTCGAAGTAGCTCGTGGCTTATTAATTGATATGAATATGCCAAAGCGTTTTTGGATGGATGCAGTCTTATGTGCTACATACATCATCAACCGCATGCCCTCTTGGTTACTTGAGTATAAGGCCCCACATCAGCTTTTGTTTCCTACAGCTCCGTTGTCCACCATTCCGATGCGTGTTTTTGGGTGTCGTTGCTTTGTCCATAACTTGTCCCCTACTTGAGGTAAGCTTGATCCTCGGGCTATACCCTGTGTTTTTCTCAGTTACCCTTTATCTCAAAAGGGATATCGCTGCTATGATCCTACCTCTCGCAAGTACTATGTCTCCATTGATGTATCCTTCTTTGAGACTCAACCTTTTTTCTCGGTTTCTCCTCAGGGGGAGAGTAGGGTTGAGGAGAAACAGGCGACTCAAACTCAACTACCTCCTTTACCCGATCCTCCTCCATTCTGGGTTTTTCATCGTCGCCATAAAAGCCAGCAGAGTTCAAGAGCCGTGGAACCTGACATTATGCAACCAACACCATCGGATTCACTAGAGGCAGATCCGTCTCATCAACCAGATACACTTGCTCCTATTGATATGTCTATTCCTTTAAATGTTGATTCACTTCTCATCAATGATCTTGATATTCCTACTGCTAAGAGAAAGGGTGTTAGGTCTTGTACCACTAATCATCCTATCTCTAATTTTGTGTCCTATGATCATGTTTCACCTTCATTCCGTGCATTCMTCTCTTCTDTGGAYAGTGTCCCCRTTCCTAAGAATGTGGCAGAAGCTTTGTCTAAACCTGAATGGACAGATGCAATGCAGGAAGAAATTGATGCTTTACACAAAAATGGCACTTGGGAGTTGGTRGACCTTCCTRAAGGGAAGGAACCAGTGGGTGTTCACAGTGAAACACAAGGCTGATGGAACTGTTGAAAGGTACAAGGCTAGACTGGTAGCAAGAGGCTTTACATAGGTATATGGARTGGACTATGCAGAGACTTTTGCTCCAGTAGCCAAGATGAACTCTATCAGGATCCTTCTTTCATTGGCAGCAAATCTTGACTGGGAACTTCACCAATTGGACATCAAAAATGCTTTCTTGAATGGCGACTTGG